ACTAAATAATAATAACAACGTCAGAGATAGACAAATAAAACAAAGATAATTAACATAAAATTTTTATTAGTCGTATTGGTATTTTGCAACTTTGGACATCCGATGTCATTGATGTAAGTTTGGCAACGTCGTGCGTGCAGTAATATAAATTGTATAAAAGTAAATAACTTTTTATTTAAAAAATCACGGGATTTTTTCTGCTCTTTAAAATAATCTCGGGATTTGAGGCATATCCACTTTATTCTTTCGCTGTATGAAATCAGTGTAAGTAAATGAATAACTCTACCTAATTCCGACCACTGTAGATAATACAAATGGATAACTGAATTTCATCGAGTTTAGGCTCGTTAGATTTGTTTTTATAAAATCATATTTTGGCAGACAAATAGAATAATTGCAAGAAAAACGAGAAGAAAGGATAAGATATTTTCAAATTAATGCCTATGTTATACAAGAAAGAGTCGGTCAACGAAGAACTAAGCAAAAGTTACCAAGTCCGTGGAATATGGTCCTTAAAATAATTACCCACTTTAATAATCAAATAGCTTTCATTTCTGATGCATACAATTTCATTAATTTCAGTAGGTATGAATTTAAAATTATTATTATTTCAGATATCGTAATAAAATACATACATTTCGTGAAACTCAAACACGGCAAGACGATTATCATCCATATCTATAAACGAGTTTACACTTTAAAATGGCGTTAATTGTATTTTAACATTCTTCAAAATTATCCTATGTCGTCATATTGTCTTGGAAGTTAGTAAGGCGTGTTAACGTAAGTCATAATAAACACCGCAATGAATGGGTAGAGGCAGTCAAAATAACACGGCGTTCAGGTATCGAACATTCAAGCAACACATTAAGTATCATAGTAACATTTATAGTCCTCATTGTCACATATATCACTTAAAATAATACATGCTGGGTGTATTATTATTAAATAGATATTATCAACCGGCAGCTCAATATTTTGTATTTATATTATTTTGTGTTTGGTGTTGCGCATCACAATATGGTAAAACATCAAAATATATGAATTTTCAATAATTATTATGAAAAACACAACTTCGGTAAATTTTAGACGTAGACAAACACCAACATATTAAGATGAAATTAAGAGCTAGCCAGATGTAAACGTGGTAAATTTAGAAGTGGAAGAATCGGAAAGAATATAAAATTCTTAAAATGAAATAGCAATAAGCATGCCAAGTGTCACATTTTATAAAAAAAAAGATGAATAATAATGGAGAGGACTAAGATGAATAAGGAATTGAATCAAACTATTTTTGACGGATAAAAACGGGTTTATATATGAGCATTTTATCGGGCAAAGCTGCTGGCGGAAAGCTAGTATATGCAGTGTTATCAGGTTAACAAGACAGAGAAACAAAAACGTGAATATGGAGTACCGTAAAGAACACAATCTAAAATATTGCGCACTGATTTCAAGTTTTTCCTGTATATTCATAAACAGCTATTATTAACGTTCACACAATCTGCCCCCCATAATAATACAATATAATAGTTTCAGTTTGCCCTAGTTCAACAAATTCGTGTTCGCACATCCTAGCAATATTATATATGCAAAAGTTTATATGTACGTTTGTTACTGATTTACGCAAAAACAAATGAACGAAATTTGATGAAATTTGTTTTACTGATAATTCTGAGCGTAGATACATATATAGGTTACATTTTATCCCACTTATTGGTTCTCTAGGGCTAAAAGTCAAGCCGCCGCGCTGGTGAAGATGCCGGTGGAAAGCTAATCTATAGCTAATATTAAGAAGTGAAGAGGGAAGATTTACTTGTTTGTTTGTCAGTGACTAAAATGGGTTCTGAACTGGACCCATTTAAATTTTTTCACCTACTGGAAGCTACATCATGGGCGAATGACATAGGGTTACTTTACTATGAAACTATCAATATTATTGGATAAGTCCCATGATATACAAGCCAATTTCATCCAGTTATAGTTATAGATAATATTCAGTGGTGATTGTAAGTGTAGGTAACTTTATCCACGAACTTGAAATTTTGATTTTAGTGAAAGTTTAATTCAAATACATACAGTCTTTTTATATTCAATATAAGCCGATTTAAAAAAAAACTTTTTATAAATCAGTCAGTCAGTATCTCGTAACGCATCTGGAAAAAAAATGTTCTGTTAATTGAACCTCGTAGCTACCGTGTTATAAATAATACATTTTCGATAGTACTCGATATAATTTCAATAATTAATATGACATGCTCGAATATGGGTTCCGGTGCAAAATCCAACCGGACATAACTATAGGTATAATAAAATATACTTTTCTTGCATATTTTTGTTACAACCTTGTTTTAATTTACGTGCGTTTTAGGTACGACACAATATCTTGTTTACGTAACTCAGTTTAATACGTATTACAACATTTGTATTAAAAATAACCTTCTTATAGACCTTCGAATTATTTCAACGATTACCTACGTATATAAAAATATAATAATTCCATTTTAGCTTTTTTTATAACTAGCAGGTTTTCCTCCGTCTGTCATATTAGTAAAGATTGGTAAAAAAACATAAAAATTTTATACTTTTTGTTTATATTTATAACATATGTTAAATGACATGACATACATTGGGCTCAGATAATTAAGTATCTAAAGTATTATACTTGTATTATCGAAATCTGAAACAATGAAGGTAACACCCAGACTCGAAACAATATAGAAAAGTTATTTTTCTATGTCGACCCAACTGGGAACCGAACCTTAGAGAGATCAGAGATGGATGTATGAACGTCTTGGAACCGATGCACAAGCCACTCGGCTACGGAGGTTTAAAAAAAAATGTAAATACCTATGCAGATACAATATGTTAACAATCTTATAAAAACCTCATTGCGTGACAGATATTAAAACAAAATAAAACACAAACCACGTGCCAGTGCCTCAGTCACTATAATAAATAACGTATACATTTCCCGAATGGTCATATAACTTGATACAAACAACACAGGTATACAAGAGCCGCAAGTATGTATAGTAAACTAGTGTCCATTCATAAGAAGCGGTTCATTCATGCGACCGTCTTGGTGAATGGGAGTGAGCGAGACGGTGAACATCGGCTAAGGTGGCGTTACAATGGCTCTCTTTCAATGGCCCCCATGAATGAGTTGAAATCCTGTTCTTGGAAAATGTGTTGTTGCATTGTTTTGTGTTTAAAACAATTGAATGGAGGCGCGTTTTGTTCAATGCATGTAGTTTTTCAGGGTAAATGTAAACATCGTTTCCCTAAAGGATTTAAGTGACCTCATGCTAAAGTAACTTTCCGTTATGTTTTCATGCCTAAAATACTGAAACAACTTTAATGAAATTAGGGACACAGATAGATTGGACAAGTGAAAAGGTTATTTTTTCGCGAAAAATTGTGTTAATGAATTTATAAGCAGGCGAAGCCTCGTACGGAAAGCTTGTCTTCTATATGAATAGAAGATAGGCCAAGAAATAATAATCCCAATATACTTTTTTAACTTAGATAATTATTTAAGTAGATTTTTTAAGTTGCTCAAACGTTAATTAAAATAGTCATTGGTTTAATGCCCGATACGAATTTTTATATTTAGAACATTTATTGGAGCTCAAAAGTAGTCATTAAACCTTAATGGACATTTGTGCAATTGATCGTAAATAAGTATTCTATAATAAATCTACCTATCCCAGTCGTTTTAGAACATGAAATTGATATTATAGCATATTTATATGTTTTTAAGTTTTAGTTACTTAATGCTAACTTAGCATTACTGTGGACACCGCTTTATATCAGAGCAACAAGATTGTGTAAAAAAACATCGTCGGTAGGAAGTCAACCCGAGTGCGACTGAATAATCTTGGTCTGTTGAAACAGAATGGATAAAATGTTGATTATAAGGAAGAGTCGTTGTAAGACAGAACAACGTTTCATTAAATAATGAGTAGATATTTAAATCATAAAACTAGTTATCTATTACAATTTTTTTAATAATAGTCGTTACCAACGGAGTAAGTCAAACTTTAATTTATTTCAATATATTAGCAAAGCAAAATGGAAGATTATTGTACACTCACAATCGGCATTAATCCTAGCGACTAATATTGACTTCTTAATATTTTATTAATGCCAACGCTATGATGATATAGCATGATTAAAAAATAAGAGAGTGGATCTTTACCCTATACATACATTCATTTACTCTTTGATTTATAAAATTCTGCGTTAATATTTTCAAGTAACTGCATCATCATTTTAAAGACATCTACTATGCTCTATTACTTTACAAAAAAAAAGAATTCAGTTCGATAAGGAAATAAATCGCTATATTTTTCTGAATATGCCAGTACTTAAGAAAAAGAGGCAGTGAATTTATTAGATTTTTGAACAAGACACTCATTATAAAATTAGATGTGAGTGATTGATATGTCACTACTTCAAAAAGCAGTTAAAGATACAGGTTTTTTTGTCCTTCAGATATATAATTATTTTGTTTCATTAAAAGTGCTTAGAATATAGGATGATTCAAAAGATATTTGACTTTTTAAAAAAGTATTGTTAAAAGGAAATATAATTTATAAATATTTTTAATTTAAATTCACGTCATTGAGTATATTCTTAAATTTAGAATTTTTAAGTTTAAGAATACAACATAAAATAATAAAAAAACACCGAAGAAGAAAACACACCATTGTAACCTAACACTTGATGCAGGTTTTATTATAGACAACACAATAACGCAGAAATTTTAATTGTATTAAAAACATCTCAATTAAAATTTACTTCGTTAATCGGTTTAAGAAAAAAGATTTAAGTATCAACACGATCCAGTCGCAGTGTAAGGTGCTTACACAGGCGCGTAGGCCAAACTCGTACCTGCTCCGCGCCAGTCCAAGCTTGAACGACGCGCGGAGGTGACACCCGACACAAAACTCGCAAACTTGAACAGTACACGATAACACATACACACACCTGTGAATATGCAAGTGCTAGCTACGTTCTTACTCGTGTGGCTGGTAGGTGGAGTGAGGGCAGTCATCAGGACTCCTCTGGAAGCCTTTCGACCTTCCGGAGAGATCCACATAAAAAGGCCTGATAAGCTGCCGTTGCTGCCGCACAGGAGGACTACGTTGCCGCCAAAAAGCGGCCTCAAGATACTTTATCAGATCGGGGTGAGTTGCATTCGGTTTACACTATATTATTTAACATACGATTACTGTCATTTACTTCTTATATAATCTTATGGACGGAAATTAGTTCATTATGATGATTTTATTATAAGAATGATTGCTCACGAGGTTTCAAAATAGTGAGAAATGATTGTTGTTTTGTATTTGTCTTTTTTCGATTATTTTCAATCATGTTTAAAGTTAACATATGGGAAACAATTGAAAGTTGAAAGAAAGATTGAATTTATTTATGTTATAACTTTTGATTGTTCCACTATTGCAATGTAAGTATACTGAATGAATGAAAATATGGATATTACATAATATTCAATTTAATGTAAATCAATCAGCAAAACACTTTACTATTAAGCAGTCTTAAATCATTTTACCGCGGAAAATATAAGACATTTGGTTTATTTCATATTATTTACATAAGAGAATAATTTAAATAGGGAAACGTCAACCTTAAAGCATTGGAAACATTCTGATAATATGTTTTCATGTTTAGTTAGTAACTACAACATTACTACATTATAGACTATTGCATAGTTTTTATAGAAATGGACATTTATTTTATTTCAAGAAAAAATATAAGTTATCATATTTAATGTGAACCTTTTATTCAATTTGACACTAGGTTTTGCATGAATCTGTTAACGAAAACCAAGATAAAGCAAGTCAAATATGATGTTCTTTTTGAAAACTTATCCTACCCGTATAAAAGTGTAACGACTTATTAACAGCGCAACAGGAAGTTTCTATGGGTACTGAAAATTGTGGCGGACGAAGACGCGGTTATTAGTTAGCGTATTTTCATTTTACTGGGGCGTGATTGTTGATTTAAATACGTATCGCAAATAACCGAGAAAATGTTGTGCTCTCTAAAATTTGCAGGCGATTATAAATAGATAAACTATACTTAATGGTTTTTACTGTTTAAGGGTCTGTGCAAATCTTATGTAAGATACGTTGAGCGTATCACAAAAGTATGCGTTAGCACGCGACGGATCATTCGTCGAGTACAAAGCTGGACACTGCACTGTATTAGGCCGGACATTTTTTCGTAAAAGTATATATCTATATATATAAATCTGTAACAAGTTATAGTTGTTTATTTATTACACATTAACCAGTTTAAAAATAACAATCATTAATCTCGTTTAATATTATCATCATTTAGTATTTAAGCAAAAGTCCAACAAAAGCCGTACAGGTCAAACACATAAATATTTAGCCGGTCACGACCCATAAAAGCCAATAACGTCAGTAACATGACAGATGGCAACCCTACTGGAGTATACAAGGTTGAATGTCATATCAATTAAAGATATGCACCAACTTAAGATTTTGTGCTTAAATTGAATGAGCGCCATGTATGTATATTCTACGCACACGCATACAGCTCAGGGCAATCATCTGTATATCTACTATTAGTGGCTGGAGCAGTTATGGACTTAAATTAGAAACAGCCAGTGGCCATATACGCTGACCCGAAATGTTGCACTTGATCAGAGGTCGAATATGAAGTTATCTAAAGCTATTACATTAAAAAAATCTAACGAACTCTACCGATCTACCATTTACCTACCTTCTTTATTTTACTTTAAACCTTAATAATATAATATTAGGACCTGGTGATTAGATATATTAGATTCAGATATCAGATCAGATCAGATCAGCAGGCGTTCTAAATATGAAAATTCTGAGGTATAGAGAGAACGTTAGAATGATATTACGAGTAGTATACATTTATTTATAATGCAAATTTTCTAAGAGAATCTCAAACGGATGAAATTAAAGTGCATGGCTACCGTACTATAAAACAATATCTCTAACTAATACACATAAGACAAAAATTATAGTAAATAGAATTATATAGCAATAGTTTGAATACAACAATTGGCGAACTAACATAATCACTGATTGATTAATGTTTTAAGAGACGAAGTCACGATATAATTATTCAACGTGGACTCTAAATCGACAATTATTGCAACGAGTCAAAGTCGTGACAACGTCGTCGGGTTTATTCATTAGGTTTGGTTATATTGACGACCGTTGTCGATATATTCTGCTGTTATAATGAAGGTTTTGTTAGAAATTATATGAAAATTATAAAGTATAGTTATAATTCCCAAGGGTGAATGTTGCGTAACGTCACGATAACGTCATATACTAGTTTCATCAAAATCCGTTCAGTAGTTTTTGCGTGAAAGAGTAACAAATATACATACATCCTCTCAAACTTTCACATTTATAATATTAGTAGGTAGGATAGGACAACAGTGTGATATTTAAGGTTTAGTAATAATCTTTTCAATATCGTTTAAATCATAAAAAAAAAACTCGAAAAACGATAAAATATAATGTTAATACCTTTTAGTAGACACAAAACGAATTTATCAAGACGTGACGCATTCGTAAGATCGCCTCAAGATGTTTTTATATAGGCAAAGAAATAATACATTAGTGTATCATTTATAAACCTTATTGTGTTAGTAATAAGTATCTAATTTACTGCAAGTGTATGATATTCGCACCATCGCTTGCAGTAAATGGTTTCGACGAAGGGCCTCACCCACCAATTAACTCGCTCCACACTTATTAAAATGATTCTATGACTAATAAATCTCACAAAAAAAAACAACTTAAATAAAAACGGAAACTTCTCAGATACCATAGACAATATACGCCAAACGTCATACAAGTAATGAACGTATCGTTGTATATAAATTAAAATTATATACAAATAATGATATTTTCCAACTGTAAATAAAAAGTTCCGGATGTCAAACCGTGTCTATCGTATTTCAAAAACAATGATAATCATTATTATAGCTAATTTCGAAGTCGATTCAAGAAGATAATCTCTCTAGTCTAGGCCAGTAATTGCGTCCGTTCAATAATAGAAAAAAGATGTTGCTTGACGATACAAAGAAGACTTTATATTACAATGTATAGGGTTTAAAATCAAAGATCCGGCTTTGGGATATTTGAAAATGGAATTTAAAAAAAATCTGTGCGCGGTTGCGGGTGCGCGCGTAACACGGTAGCAGCAGGTGCTCATTCACTCATTCTTATCTTGACAGCTTCGATGACTTACGGTTTGGTCCCGACCCGTGTGTGCTGTTTGGATAAAAAACTTTTTTTTTCTCTCCTCTCCTTAATGTCGCCTTTAAGCCCATTCGTAACGGTAACCTTCTTTCCGAACAATCTCTCTCTTTAAGGAATGGAATTTAAAGTTATCTTGTCGTTTTTAGAGATCCGTTTTGATATTTGAATAATTTAAGATTATAATTTTTTTCACTTTCCTACCAAAAGTATTCTTTAAACTTCTAGTTATATTCTAGTATCTTCAATTGGTATAGAAAATTATTACATTTTTTATTCAACAACATAATTATACCACATCATCACTACACAATACGGCAGCCACAATATGTTCTATCGCGATTGCCAATAAAAATGCTACGGAACATCCAAATTCGATTCAACTCGATCTTGACCGTATCTTTGAATCTTATTAAATTTTATGCGAGAGCTTAAACCCTGACAGATATACGAGAGTATGTTTTTTTAGTCCGGTATTTATAATTATGATCACGACGACCAATCATTCGGAGGCAAAGCTAAGGATCGTTAGACCGCGCGACAAAGGTATGGCGGCATTTTTCAATAATTAAACATAGACATCTCAGCGGGACTTCTTATTGTTATTGTACTATACAAAAAAGTTGAATAGCTCATAGGAAGGTATTCGGGGCGGTGTCGTTACGATCAGATGTGTAACCAAAACTTGAATGAGTATAGGTATTTGATCTAGCTGTTTAGACGGGAATCTAGTATATGTCAAAGAAGATATAATACAAGATTGAGAAGATATAATACACATCGACGAAATGAAATATCGCCATTATTGTGACAAAGATCAATTGCGGTTAGTTGCGTAAACGTCCATTTTTAGTTTTAATAAAGACTTTAAGCTCTAATGAATGTTCTGAATTTGAATATAGCTTATTTATTTTAAACTAATGACGATAATACTTACGAGACAACAAATTCAGGCTTAGTGTATAGGAGATGTATAACTTCTTGAACTGAATTACACTAGAATGAGAAGAGAATCAATGTCGTTATAATATTTTAGATGTAAATTGTTAATCTATAGTGAATATATTATTTTTAAACTGCACAAATTTAACTATCAGTCAATAATCATTTCGATAATAATATAAACGTAAAATTGACACCGCGAAATTGGTACTCCATTATTATATTCAAGTGACAAGGCCTCGACCGAATCAGCGTGTAAGTCAATATGAGAACGTATTTGGAGTGTCTTTTCCTGAGTTGTGATATCCGCTCTGAGCGATGGTTTGTTACATTTCTTTTTTTTTAATTTCCCGTGTAGTGTAAACAACGTGTGGCCAGTTACAAATTCCAAAGTTAATAGTGCAATAAAAGCAATAAGTGTCAGCGTAAGGTACTAGGTAGGTAACTTTGTAATTCATGAGAAAGTATTACGCTAAATAACTTATGATGTAGTGAATTAGAATAGCTCGGTGGCGTAGTGGATAACTGCCGCGGCCCACGATCGTATTTGTTAAGCAATGTTCGCAAGGGTCGATCGCGAGTTGAGATGGGGACCAAAAATATAATCTTGAGCTATTTCGTGCTTCGGAAGGCACGTTAAGCCATTGGGTCCCGGCTGCATTTGCAGTCGTTAATACCCTCCAATCTGCATTGTGGCAGGGTATAGAGCCGTGTCCCATCTTCCTTAATCATCCATAAGGAAGGTCTGAGCCGCTGCATTGGGGACGTCACAGGTCTGCTGATGGGTAGTGAATTAAACCTTACTAGTACAACAATATATTATGAGTAGGAAAGTATGGATGTTCATTTATTTCTTAAGTTATCAGGTCATGAAACTCAAATGGATTTGGATACATATACCACAAAAAAAATAATTGAAAGAAAAACAAAAATCCCGACTGCGTAAAAACGAATTAAAAAAAATACATGTAAATATTATTAAAATTGAAAAATACTATTAAAATTTTACCAATCAAACCTTCCCAAGAGGCCCCAACTATGAGTCGTTCTGTTCTGTACTACTTAACAGAATTCTAAACTACTGGGCTTGTTTATTTCTTTTTAGTTTTTATTTATGTTAATTCTTTCATGTATTTTTTAAAATTTTAAACTATTATTTAAAATGAAAAATGATAAAAGGAACCTAAAGATGATTTTAAGATACCCTTCAACGACACCCCACTTGACATAGTTCATCGATTTTTATTTTTTTCATTTAGACAATATGGCGTCTGGTTGTCGCTGTGGTGAATTTTGATTACTGTTATGTCTTTAGTGACACTCGCAAGGTTAAGACGAATCGATTGACGTAAGAATCATCCAAATCGGCCTACGCATTTGGTCTCTAGAACGCCACATAGAAACAAACATACATACATACATACATACATAGACTGATAAACACATTACCCTCCTTTGCGTCGCGCAGTCGGGTAATAAAGAACCTTGTATATAAGAAGTAGTTACTTATTTCTGGGAGGTTTTCCGTTGATACCAAATACTTAGTGTTAAACCCGAATTAAAAAAAAAAAATGATATTAAGAGAATATCTGTTATCTGTAAGATATGTTTATTGGAATTTAATAGGAAACTGTGAATCTGGTCCAAAGTTTGTATCACTGCATCGTGTTGTTCGAGCTAGTTTTCGTATAATATTCTATAAAACAAATGTTTTAGGCTTAGCTATTTGTAATCAGAATTTTATAGATATATGTTAGTAGAATCTGATCTATTTTAGTATAGCCAAAAGGTATGTGGTTAAAAACACATTAATAATAATCGTTACAAGACATCAAGGAACGATACACTCCGGATATTACTGGGTTATTTGGTGATCAATCAAATTTGAACATTATTGGCAAAACATTAGCCGTGGAATTCGCTCATACCACCTTTCCTTTTTTAACAGAAAGGCAGTAATAGGCAATCCATTCGTTATAGTCATTATGTGGTTGTAAATTTTTTCTTAGAAAATATTTCGTTATTTGAAAGTTGACCATCTTTAAATAATTCTAATAAAGGCTTTTTATGTTTTTCGAAGTATTATAATTATAATATTCTTTCAGGTAAGCGAAGATTTGAAATAGTTTTTTTTATAACAGGCATTTCATACAATTTGTTAAAACTGGTATACATAAAAACATGTAATATGAAATGTGACGTCATTACATATTACTTAAGCAAAAACAAAATTCCTAGTAAACAAAATGGCCACTTTATAGTTAATGATCTGATATAGTGTCATGTGATGAGTGAATCTTTTCTCATATAAAACATGAATCAAGATTGACCTAAAAAGGCGTCGTGTACGCATAATTCGTACACGTGAAGACAGCCAATGCGGGCGGAAGACAGTTCTGTATGCATCGCTATGTTTATAGCAAGTGGTTATGTTACAAGTCTGTACACTGGAAGCCTGTTTGAGTGGAACACAATTTCAGTTTACAATAAGAAATTTCGTATTCAAAAGTCCCGAAATATATTATCACATATATAGGTAACCCACAATTGGTGAATTTGAATGTATTTTGATATAAAATATCGTTATTATTAATAATTATTATAATTACAAATCTTTTAGTAGCAAAGGCTCAGATAATATTACTAGTTTTATTAATGTTCATAAATTAAAAAAATATGAGTCTACATTATTACATAAGTAAAAAAACAAATGTAGCGAGAACGTCTATATGTTTTATAACATTATCGCTACAAAAAAATGTTTTTTTTTATTATAATTTTCACATTATTTAATGAGCACGTTGTCACAAATCTTCACGTAAAGATTTCATAACATACACGTATACCATTATTTTGTCCACAAGTATATAATTATCTAAGCGTACATAGATATTCTTATTGTTGTTCAGGGCATCCGGAGTACTTCCATTCAAGACGCACGTGGTCTCTATTCCTTTGAGACGGATGCCAGTTCGAATCTCGGCCGAGATACCCTTGAGTCTCTTCACTGTGAGGTGGTTAGTGAACTCACTGTCCATTCATAGTAAAACCGGCATAGTTTTTGTTCGCGATTAGTACAAATCGCTTTAAAATTACGTAATCCCATTCATGGAATCTTTTGACCGGACTTAAGACTAATTTTAATTTAAAAAAATCTACATACGTCACTTTATTATAACTGGTATGTTTTTATTAAATGAGACAAAAAATGGCAGTAAAACCTTATTAAGACAAGTGACTGCTGTCTTTGATTTTTCAACACAATAATAAATGAGTTTCTTAAAACACGAGGCATTGATAACTTTAGGTGATTCCAATTTAGAGGGGAAAAAATAAGACAACGGCACCCGCCTGACAAAGTTGATCGATGGTCATTTTTTAAACTGCACAGGAGTAAAAAGTAGCGTTTATTTAGGTTTTTGTCGCGTAACGCAGGTGCCGATCCAAGTCCTGTTTGAGTTTTTTTTTCGTGATGTTTGTTTGTAGTGGTGCGTCTACAATGGGCATATACCGTAAATAGTTTTCATGCAAAAAGGTTTTATTATAAATCACGTGATGTTTTATATTTATCTGATGATAGTGTTGTTTCTTTATTCAATTGGACAATATTGCATTAGTCTTATGAAGGTTTTTAACATATTACGAATATTATAGGGAGAAATAAAAGTGACAAAAGCCGAACGAAAACGGGTTAGCTATGACATTTCATGGTAATCTGTTATGCTACTCTTATTATTCTGATCAAATAAAACCTACTTAAAAAGGTAATGAAGGTTTCGTCAAACCTCTATCCTGTGACAACGCTATGCTCGAGTGCGAATCTAATTATATTACAAAATAGCAAAGCTGGAGTGTAGCAGTGTAAATCGACAACAATAGGAACGGCAATAAACAGCCGATATCCGTGCTCATAAAGAAAAGACAGCGATCTCTTTATATTTCCACCTATAATCGGTTGATACGGGTATTCTTCTCTTCTTCTCAGCCATGTCTCTCTCGACAGTGATCGTGGTATGAGGCAACATCATCATTGGTGACTGATGTAACCCTTCTCATGATTTCTCGCTATCTTAATCCATCGGTCGAAATTCTAGTGCATTTGCTTATTGTTTCCAAATCCAACTTTATTTGGTCAGCCCACCGCATGAGTGATTTACGACGTGGCCTAGTTCCTTCAACTCTTACACCACCAAATGCTCCATGGAGTCATGGTTTCGTTTCGAGACATTCCCAAAGAACCTCAAAATCCGAAACTGTAGTAGGGTTGATAGAGACTACGTGAAACCGAATTCTTGATACAGGTATTATAGTCTTCATACATGCACCTTTAGAATATGACTCGAGCCAACCGAATCCCTTACCAGATTTACGTTCACTTTTCATAGTTGACGCGTGTAGTCACTTTTTGTCAATTTCATCTGTGACGAAGCGTAAATTATCTCATTACAGCGATTGATTTCATTGTCAGCGGGCAGAACCGTGAAGGGTTAACTTTGTGACACACAAAAAAGGATTGCTCGTTGCATTTGTCGAGTAAACAAACTCACTTGATGAACACTGCTCTAAGATTTATAATAACCTAACTGTTTTCCCGCGAGTTCGTCTGCGTATATTATAGTCTATGTTACCCGCGTATATATAGTTTACCGTACGTGAAAGGTTTTTAAAATCGGTCTATTAGTTTTGGACCTTTTTCAATATAAACAAACAAACAATTTAATTTTCATATTTATAATATTAGTAAAGACAAATTTTAGATAGCATCACATATATTGCTCAGATCATAAAGTAAGTAGCTAAAACAAAGTATTGTGGAAATCTGAAACAATAAAGGTAACAAAATACCCAGACCAGACACAATGTAGTAAAGTTAATTTCCTACATTAATTAGACCTGGAATCAAACCAGGGATTTGAGTGATAGCGACGTATGTAGGAGTTACTTAAATATGTGTCAACCGAAACAAAAAGAAAACTCTATCCATACTAATATTATAAAGAGGATTGTTTGTTTGTTTGCATCGAATAGGCTGCGAAACTACTGGAGCGATTCTAAACATTCTTTCAGTTACGGGAAGCTGCAAAATAGGAGGGGAACATAGGCTATAATTTACGCGGGCGGAGTCGTGGGAAAACAACTATTTTATTATTATTATTAGAAGTGAGTTTGTTCTTCTTGTCAGCTAAAAGACGTCCTGGACAAGTGGTAGGGGAAAAAAGTTTTTTGGACGATTCAAAAGAGCTTGTAATAGCCTACTTGAATAAAGATATTTTCATTTCATTTCATTTCATTTCACTCGACAAATACAACGACCAATCCTTTTTTGTATACCATATGTAATTTCAAATAAAGGGACAAAAAAGCCGCTGCCAATATGATTAGTAAGTAACTACTGTTCCGAGATTTATTTTCAGCGTTGAAGTCTTTTCAAGGCGCGCTCTACCGGTGAACGCTATACCACCTAACTATTAACTTTCAATTTGTATATTTAGATTGATATGTCGTTCGTTCATGACGGTTCGTTGTCGGATGGGTGACCAAAAAATCACCTACTGCTCTTTCGCGTTTCGCAAAATAAAGTCTTTGATACCGATTGCGTCTACAAATGTTAATACCCACCCGCCCGCGTGTTGTGTGATGATACTTTTTATATGTATCATTCTATCCCTAGGTTTATTTATAAGGTTTTGTCCAACAATAAATTTATTAATGGGCTGATGATTATTAAAAATATACTTACTGCTTATCATAAAAATAAAGCCCAGCAAATTTTGTTAGTATCATTAACATAGAAGTTCCGGATTTCGATTTTAATTCTGTTAAGTTTTTTTTAAATCATTCCACATTTTATTAGACAAGTATTTTAGCTACTTAATTTTGGCTCTGAGCAATATTATGCAATACTTTTTTTATTGTACTTTTTTAATGTTTATTAAATATATTATATATTGAAAAAAAAAACAGTTAAAACCAACACACTCCATGAAACATAAAAAGGGATTATAATAATTACATGCAATAAAAAAAATTTAAGCCTTGAAGGCAACACAATTTCCTGCTCATATGGAAAATAATATATAAAGCGGTTAGAGACCAATCGCTTTAAAACTAATTATATGAGGGCCACAGCCGGCCTGAGGGCAATTTGTAATAAGTATGGATTTGTTATCCGTTTTGCTACCTGTGTTGTCGGGAATCGGAATAGCATCCGTTGCTCCGGGTCGGAAGCTCAAATTAAAACTATTAAAATCTTTAAATTAGAAAAATAGGCTCTATAAAGCTATAAAGCAATACACCAAACTGATTGTAAACAAAAAAATATAAAATTTTAAAAAGATATCGAATTAAATATTTTAAAGTTACCTTTCAAATTAAAATCATCAAATTTCATCTCCAAACTATATTAGGTTAGCCATATTGCTGGATTCGATGGAAATTCTATAGAAACGTCCAATTCTATACTTAATCTCTTTCATACTCAGTACGGGCACATTTCAATTACAATTCACACCTCTGAAACTATGCAATGGGTTTCGATATGATTTTGCACATTTGCATGGGTCAGAGGAAGTTTTATCATCCTTGTCGCTACTAATGCCATCAAAACGCATTCAAATCATTATTAAAATTCAGAATTAGCTTCGCTATTCCGCAATAAAATCTTCGAATATGACATCGAGTAAAGTGCTGATACTTTATTACCTTTTGAAGTAGGTTTTATTTATCTGAACCTCTATGCTGTAACGAGAATCGATAAATGACAAGAAAGTATAGTATACAGGCTTAGATTTATACACATGATGGTGAAGATTAATAAATTTCACGGGTACGAAGAGTTTAGTGATCGCGCTTCATTTACGGAAGTTTTAAATAAAAGGCGAGACAATTAATAATATAGGTAATTTGGTTTTAGCTACCTGTGTTATGGGCCGGCCGTGTATCCGTAGCTTAAGGCTATTATAAAGCAGTTGAATGAAATCAATCGCCTGTACACGCCCTTTAATATGTTAGACTCACTATTAATACCTGTTCATTTAGAATCGTAAGAATGTAATATATAAGTTAGTTTAAATACTATACGTTATATATGTCTGCGGTTTTTAATAACAATACCCGCATATTCATGATATGAGAATATATTCGCTAAAATTGAATTAACATATGGCATTAAGATAGACTTTTAAACGTGAAATAAGATTGCGATTTATGTAATTAGGTACGTAATACTTACAAGCTTAAAATTACAATTTATTCAAAAAGCTAAAAGAAAATTTGTTGAATTATTATTGAAACGAATGATTTATGGTTCAATATTAAAAAAGGTGCATACATACACGTAACATGTCCACGTTTGGCAAGTTTGTAAGGTCGGTGCTACAAATTGTTTATCGGAGTGGGCGCGCGGCACCTGTTGACGACAGGATACCCCCCTCCATACACCCCGCAGTTTCCCGCGAGCTTCTAAGCTGCGGTCACACATTGATCGTTGGATGCTGTTCAAAGTTCTCCGAGAATAGGTATTAGTGTATATCTTTAATTTAATTTCTATGTGAATAAGTTTATGATAAAAATATTAAAGACCGTTGAAGGTAACTTTAATTTTAAAATGATGATATTTATTCAAGCTCTCCTATTATATAAAAAAATGGTAAAACTAAGTGGGTAGAGTATTTTCTAATATATATTTATACTAATACATTTTTTATGAATTTTTGTTTATTATGTAGGAAACATTAAAATGTCATATTATAGGTAATACTTTATATTAAATATTTAGTGATAATTATATCATTTATAGTTCTTTTGAACTCGTTGTCTCACATGCATATTATATAATTAGTACGGCGAAAATTTAAAATTAAAAAAAGAAAATACAAAAGAAGTCCCTAATGTCTACTCAGCTTAAGATTAGCCTTGTTTCGCGTTACGGAACTTTCTTTTCGATATAGTTTTTCATACATTTACTATAGAGCCGAGAGTCGTTTGACAACTCAGAATCTCGCTAATTACGACTATAGAAAAGGACAAAAAGGTTTAACGGAATATCGCCTCCGGCTGGCCGACTCGTATAACGTTTCCAAAAAATCTGTGAAATAAAGTGGGCGGCGGCTGAACATCCGTCACACCCTCCAGCATCATGAATGACCAAAGTCGTAGATGACAAAATTTGTCAGGGTTAACAACTGACGAAAGTTCACAATTATGAAAAAGATTGAAAGTTGAAGTTAGTTGAAATTTCCTGATAAGAAAATTTACTTTAAAATTTTCTTATCAGGAAATTTCAACTAAGATCTTCAAATATTACTCGCCAAGAAATAAATACGATTTCAATTAATTTGCAATGCCGAGAGGAAAAGTTTTATTACGTAGTCAGCGGTCTGGCCTATCTCTCTGAGCATTTTATGTTATTCTATGAAAAACTTTCATTATGTAGGTTACTGATTGTTGGACTCCATGTATATGACTGTTTTGTTGGTCAATCGGTCTTAATTGAATCAATAAAACATTATATAGACATTATGTTTTAGAGATAAAAGTACTGTAGCTCTTTTTACGAGCAAGCATAGATCATATTATTGAAACCGCAATTCCAAGCGTATAGCTGATATATCAGAATACCGATTTTACAAATTTTCTGAATAGTTTTAATAACAAAGTTATTACACAAGTTTTACACATCCCTAAAAACGCCCGAAGAAGTCATGCTTGTATTATTTAATTAGGGACATGCGATCCCTGTTGAACGATTTCACGATTGATAGAAGCTGAGGTCCATTTGAGAGTAAAATTAGAGAGCACCTGTTCCATATGTAAACGCATAACGTTGTAGTTTTTGTTGGGTTGTAAATATAATAAGGAACTAGATTGAGGTTAGTACGCTATCTTAGAATGGACGACCAAAAATTTAATATCTTGGCTACCGCCCTCCAGAAGATAAGTCGTTGGTCCCCACTGCATTTATAATCGTTAACAACCACCAATCCACACTGGGCCTGCGTAGTGGTTATGGTTCCTTTTCTCTATTAGGTTGCATCTTTAGAGAAGGGTCTGTGCCCTAGCATGTAGACATTAATTGACCAATGATAATGCTATGTTTATATTATATAGGAGGAATACTCATTTCAAAGAGTAGATACGCATGAAATCTTATATATTAGTTAAAATTAAATTTACCTTTTGAAGACAACTGGAGATATCCCATATATTAACTTACCTGAAAAAGAAAATACATACCACTGTTAGTTGAGTATAATAAATGTCAGATAACTAACTGTTTGTGTCAAAACCAGAAATATATAAAAGCAATTCTAAAGGGGTTCATGTAAGTGACTTAATAATATTTCTGATCATTTGCGTCTTTGTGGCCACGGAGTCTGACGGAGTTTTTATCCGTGCAAAAGTTGTTTACATAAAATAAGTAGTGTAGTTAGAAAAACAAAAAAAAAATAACAAATTCGTATATTGGATAACGAAAATTTTACAACACAGCAAAATGTAATAACAGACAATAAACCTCACAATATAACATCATATCATCGTTAGCCCAATTAAGAATTCCACGGTACCGACACACAAAACTTAAGAACGCCGTCGGCTTAACATTCAGGCCGGTGTATAACACGCCGTTAATCTCTCGTACGAGTCAAGAACCCAATATCATTGTGTTTTATTGAAAAACACGTTTGCGTAGTGACTTTTTGTGTTCGTCACAAAAGGGCTATATCCGGCCGTCGCGATCTTTATACAAATATCTCGGTTAGACCCGTTTCCGCGAAATCTATCGCGATACACAAGAAACGGGAAGTGTATCCGGAACAACGTAAAACATATTTTTTTTCAATGCCCAGTCTGCGATTAGGGTTGTCAAGACGTTACGAAAAACTAACGATGCGTAGCGTCACATGTCAGAACTTACAAATCATATGATATGATGACATTCGACCTTGTATATTCGAGGGAAAATTACGCAAACTAATGCATATTTCCGTGAGAGGCTTGACAGATCTTCGGTCAATATGGCACCGACCCTAAGTTAAAACTTAAGTAAGTATTACATTAATGAACATTCGAAATTTGTTATATGAAATATGTTGATCAATATCAAAGTTTTAAAGTTATTGTATAGTCGTAGAGAAGGTCGTATTCAATGTCGAAGCTATTTGAAAGATATTTGTAACTTTTACTTTGCTCGGATAGTCGAAAGGATTATATATCACTCCAAAGCTTTCCAGCGATTTCCACATAAATTCATATCGTTTGCCACGTCACAGAAGGACTAAAAGACAAATACATATTCGCCTTTTAAAACAACTGCATATTAGTATGGATAACTTTACCATAACGTCATCGCCAACCCTAAACTGGCGAACATAGAAAAACCATTCCCACAGCAAACAGGTTGCCGAATGGCACGTCTTCCGGTCGGAAGTTCCACCGATGGTCCTTTCTGGAGTACAAAAAAAGAGATTCAGAGCGCACATGTCCTTATTGTGTATCAAACAATCGTATGAATAACATCTTTCCGACGTAGATCGCAATAATGGTCACTTTTATTATGTATTTAGGAGCAGGTGGGTTTGAAATCAGGGGCACCTTGCGTGTTTTCTCACGCGCAGCCAATGTCAGCAGTTATTGTGTCGTGATTGATACCGTATCAGTTCTGATAGGCTTATTCTGGAAAAACAAAATGGCGTTGCTCTAAGGCCACACTATTGAAAAGTTTCTACTATTTAAAAATAAGTTTTAGTTTATATTATTTTATGTTATATCATATTTTGTGATGACGTTTTAATTAGTTTTATTATTTTTTTAATAGGGTTCATTTGTATGGTTGAAAGCTCCTAATCAAAATATAAAACTTTAAGAATGAAAGTTTTAATTTTATGATTCTTGTAGCATATGCGAATGAACAAATGCTCAGTACAGCTTCTTATTGCTATTACTGGATTTTCGGAATACGTTCGCCATCTAATCAAACTTTGATGCCATTGAGAATATGTAGTTGGTATGTGAGTGCAAACGCGTATTGAATTTAAAGTCAATAAAGACATTTATCTGTATTTCTAATAGTATACTGGCTACTGTATTCCTAGACAATGTTAAACAATGAAACAGAGTTACATGTATTATGTATTTTATTTTCTCTTGGAAATATATATGTAGGTGATATATGATCTAAAATTGAGATCGTATATTCGGGCCATTAGACGATCAATTTAGCGTTAAACTTTATCGTGATCTTGATCAGACTAATCGTGTAATATGTTGATTAATGCTAGATTAAGATGGATATAATCTTGATAATTCGATTTTTGTCATCAATCCGCAAATTTGATCTGATTATGATCCAAACTGATCGTCTTAATGACAGTCTAATGAGTTTCATGTTCAAGAATTAGTTACAGTTTTCGATACAAAAATTTTGCAACTTATTTTTATAACCTTGTTTGTGAGACGTCATTCTATATAATGGGAGTAATCACCATTATCGTATTTTATTATTACTCTGTTATTCACGGATCGGCGCGTTTAAGGGGGTAGATGTGAACTTTATTAGCTAAAATTGGAAAAGGGTAAGGTTAACACCGACACGTGTAATCCATAAATAGGTCAAATTAAAAAAAGAAAAAATTATGAAGATAAAAAACAGGAACTTAGCTTTTAATCTTCTTATCACCTAAACAAGCCCGTAATATTTCGTATGCCAGATTTCTTTTCATATACAAGATATATGTTTATTCTTTTCAGGTCTCGGAGGAAGACCTGCCGCTGTGCAGGGCTAGACAGGTGTGCAGTAAAGTGGATCTGTACGACGCCAGCCAGCCCTGGATCGAGAGAAAGTGCCGGTGCTTAGGACACAGACCTTGTTCTAGGTAACCTTAATATAATTATAATAAATTGAGTAATGTGGGGGACAGAGTTATGTTCAAATCTCTGATAAATAGCAAAAATATGGGACAGATTTTTTTAATTACGCCTATTTATTATAATTTATTAAATTTTTTTGGAAACCTATTTTCATAAATTTCATATTTATAATTATGCAAAACATATGTAATTTTATCCATTAAAAAAAGTTAGGTTCAATAAATTTTTTTATTAAAAAAAGATCGAAGCAAATTGTCGTCACTTATACAGTATGTTCTGACTTCTGACATCCTTGCAGGGAATGAATTGGTAATCCCAGGATTTTGTATTTAAGTTATACCTAGCTATGTGTATCCAAGACATAATGGAACTTAGTGGGTCAGAAAAAAACATATTTTATTTGATACTCGATCTTCAACGAGTACTGTTGTAACTTTATTAAATGACAAAATTAAATAACCTTAAACTATTTTGTTGACATAAAATATTATTTTCTCTTAATTTTCTGTTACAGTGAACTTATACCCGATGACAACCATACGCTCGCAGACAAAACCACCTTGTACAAGACATGCGAACCGGTAAAAAGGCTACCAAAATGTCGATACTTCAAAGAGGCCGCCTGGACGATCTTCTCCTACCCTGACAGCAACGCCACGCAGCAGATAGTCAACTGTCATTGCCCCAAGAACTCGGTCACTTACCTCCTCAAGAAGATACCGTACACGACACCTAGCGGTGAGCAGGGGAACCAGTACCAGTTCGCGTGTTCGCCGCAAAGCGTAAGTGTTGCTTTCTTTCGCTCACTTAGTTCTTATAAATGGCGCTACGTAGCGCTATATTAGATTTACCATATTATTTGAAAAAGTAGAGTTAAAGCCATGCTTTATAAAGCAAATTTATAATAAAATTCTACTCGTACGAATTAATATGTCATCTGAAGGTCTTTTCTATTTATCCGGAAACAAAACTTCGTTTGTTTTGCGAAAAGCTAATAAGACTCCAAAGAATTAATTTTTCTATAAATTATTGTGCAACAGAGATACGATGGCCTCTCATTCAGATAAGATTTGAGCATTATTGTAGGAACAATTTTTGTTCGAGGACAAATAGAATAAGTCCTCAGGCACCTGCCTAATTATTCAACACTTTTGCAGGTAAACAACTAGCAAATACGAATTGTTTGGAATAAAAGAGACATTGAAAAATATGATTATTTACTTGAAAATAAATTATTGTTTTTATTTAGAAAAAAATGTAATTAAAAAAGAATTCAATGAAATACGCTTATATTTTTTCCGCTGTCACATCACCATCATTGTTGTTATTTTCAGCAAAATAATTTTCTTTTGCTTTCATTATTACAGAGATTACGTTGTTCACGGAAGGAGCCATGCAAATTGTTCAGTGCGAGGCGACGGCACGAACAAATCGACGAAGTTAACGCAAACACGATATGTCAATGTCCGAGAGATCACACATGCCCCAGACACCATACCGAACCCGGTGTGTTGGCTGGAGTGACGTACGCTGCTGAGGACATACGCACCTACCACGGGTACTGTATGCCGGAGCCACCACCAGACGTGTATAGGTTCGTTGGTGATAAAGATTGAGTCAATTATTCAAACAACCGGTTTTACAAAAACATTGTGGGTCTATTTTTGAAAATCGATAAACGTTTTTCTTGCATAGACAATGCGAACTCCTTTTTCCTTCTTTTTTTTTAATTTTAGAATATGTGATCCGTTTCATTTTCGATCTTAACCTTTTTTTTACAATCAGACGTAAATCCGTTTGAGTCGACAGAAAGGCAAATGTTGTTTATAGCTTTTATGTATATTTTTTTTAAGTCGAGACAGATATTTTTGCTCATTACCTGTTTAGTACAAAAACTGATGAATGATTTATTAATTTGAATCGATGTAAATTTGTTTAGGAAGCGAACAAAGATTAAACAAATATACGTAGTAAGTAACTAGATTATTAGTGATATCCTATGCCCGTTTTTACTAAAACGTTATAATTTTATTATCTAAATTATTTTTTAAATTATACTACGATATATCTAACGGCTAATGGATAATTTGACTTTTTTTAGTAAAAACGTGCAGTGATTTTGTAAATAAAAATTGTGAATTGTTTCTGTTTTGTTGTAAATAAATATTAGTTTTAAGTGATATTTCTTAAAGTTACATAAAATTATTCTTTTTCATATATTATTATGATTATTTACTTGCCATAATCGCTTAGTTGTTTCTTTTACCGAGTCTTCCATTGCAGTCAAGGGGAAGAATTTTGTGTCTATATTTGTTCATTGTTTTGTTTATGTTTACAATTTGTATAGTGATTTTTTTTTTGTTAAAATGTAGACAAAGTAAGTTGAGTAAAAGTTTTTTACGGTTAGGTTATGCTGTAATTAATTGAAAATAACGTTCAAATTATGATATTTTCGTGATATGTTGAGGTATGCACATTTTGTATTGTTTTAAAATTATTATTCACTTTTAAATATTTTATGATTGTAACCTTTAAAAAGATTAGGTTTTATTTTCTTGATTTATAATTTCTAGTTTTGCAACATGTAAAATACTCACCAACTAAGTTTGCAGATAAGCCAGCAGTTGATTAGTTTTCTGCACATTGCCTCCTCTACACTATTTAAGTCTGTCTCAGAGATGGGTGATTTAATACCAACAATCCAGGATTGAAGATTAGGTTTTTTTCATATGAATATTTCAATTTGAATTCTTAAATTATTAGAACAGTGGGTTTATTAGGTGACAGTACTTTATGTATCCTTAAAACTGATAAAAGTATTTACATTTTATGTATCTTTACCTATTACCTACGATTTTCGCAACTATGTAAGGTAATCTTAGGTATATTGCAAATAATATTTACTACTAATACACAAACGATTCTGAGCCTTAAACAACTTGTTCATAGTCCAAAATTAATAGCAAAATATTCTGCTTTGTGTACATTGTAATTATAAAATTTTATGATTGGAGATATTGTTAGATCGCACTCTTCTGAAACTATGTAAATATAATTATGAAGCATGTTGATTTTTAACGTATACTTGATACGTCTTCCTTATTTGTTTTATGTATAGCTGTTTTAAGTTAAATTATTGACAGAAAATAAAGAAATGTTCCAATATCAGTATCCAGGTTGTTTGATTACAATGTCTTTTGTATAAAGAAGCTGATTGGATATTGGTCTACATAAGAAGTTCATAGGAGAAATGGATTTGTAAAAGCATAGTTCATTCCAAAATATCAGAAAACTTTTGTGTTTTTTTTAATAAGAGCTTTTTAGGCTTCTGTAGTAAAAAGGAACCCTTACATTTTAGCCATGTCCATCTGTCTGTCTGTTTATCGGTACGTCCGCGGTTTAGCTCAAAAATCATTAGTGCTAGATAGTTGTAATATGGCATGGGTATACCGTTAATCATGAAAATAATATCATGAAAAAGTTTTTAGGGGATGATTATTTTATTCGTCTTCCCATAATAATATTGGGGGATGTGGGGAGACAGTATTTCGATTGTATTTCGCAAACCGTACGTGATTTTTTTAAGCATTTTCACTAAAGATATTTATCAACATAGCATTGTGAATGCAAAATTGATAACGTTATAATAAGTAAATCGTCTTATATGTGTTGTCGTCTAATATTTATTAATATAATAACTATGGTTTATACTTTTTTTTTTCCATTTAGAGACTTGGTCAATATTATGTCATACTATAATCAGTTCTGGACCGCTGAAAAATAAATAATTACCTAATTCCTTTTCTATTCTATTTCGATAAGTAAGCTAGAAAACTATGATGGAAATTATAAGTAGAAGGGTTCCAGTAGTTCAACTGAACTACAGATAGGAGAACTACAGAAGGCCTACAGATTAACGAAAGCCCTGATTTATCGCTTCGGTTTCGCTGTTTCAAATAACAGCTTCGGTATTCTCTTAAGAATAAAAAACACGACTATATCAACTAGGATTTTGAAATAGCCTTACCTTTATTCTATTATTTATTTTTGCCGCTTTTTCTGGTGCTCCCTAAGATGTGATACCCTAAGCAATTGCTTAATTTGCGAATGCATTAACCCGGAATTTCGGGATTATTGCTCGTTCTTCTTATCAGTAAGCGCCATGTCCCAATGGTGGCGACTTTAATCGATTACTTATTATTGATTTATCTTTGGCGCAAAAAAAACAACTTCAAAAATTATATACGTTGTCTTATATATAACGTTTGTCAGCGAATTATGTTCCGTTAGCTGAACAAGCGTTCTTGTTGCACGTTTTACGCAATAAATATTCTTCTAATTACCATTCGAAGTAAGGTGTACTTTGTTAACAAGAAATGTAGTCATGTCATTGTTACGAATGTCAATGTCATTACTATACTATGATTCTGAAGCCGCTAACATTGTTATGCAAATGAGCCGACCGTCGGCGTGCATGTTAACACACATTGCCGTCTCCAGGTGTTCACTAATCAGATTAAGCTATATAAAATTAGCACTACTAAGCTTTGCTCGCACATGCACGGCCTTTTGGTAATCGCTATTTTTGATAAAAAAAAAACTATTTGATCTCATTTGCTCGTCGTTATTATGTCGTTTGTGTAATAGGGATGACGACTAATTTTTGTTTGTTTGTCCGTCAGGTAGAGTGTTAAAAAATATTAAACATTTTTTTTATTTTCGTAATCATAAAATTACGACGTTACATGAAGTTGAAATTTCGCACGTCACGTTATGGTACGTTTTCTACTAAACTGTCACGTGGCAAGCCCCCACTCCTCAACTTTAATGCCTGTTATCTAAGGTATTTCTTGTTCTTAAAATACGTATCTACTAATTTTCTATTATCTGACTGATGGACTAAAGGGAATTGTATTTTTACCCAGTCGTCATCCCTATTCTCAATTTCATATTCATTTCACTTTGGTATTTATCTCTTGCCACAACTAAAACGACTATTGTAATAAGTATCCTTTATAGCCGTTTCTACTGCCGAGAAAGTCTTGTGATAGTCGGTTTCAAGGGCCTAAAGGCGTACGATAGTGTTATATATTCATAGTGTTGGAAGTTACAGAGTACCAGCCTACTATTTAGTTACATGCTATTAGATGGGATGTCCATTAGATTGCAACTAACTATAATGGTATTACATAGACTATTTCATTCTATATTATTTTCATATGCATATAATAAAACTAAATACTACTTGGTCTTGCACTTAGGTAAGTTAAACTTTATATAACATGGGGTGAATTTAATTGCAAGAAATTTATGCGATTTTAGAAGACAATTTAGCATAGATTACAATTTACTTAAATATTACCATGTTTTCTTGATATTATGCTTTACTTTGAAATGCACTCTCATTAAAGTAATACATTTCCATTCGTCATAAAAAAGGTCATCTGTTATTGATCCACGTTGCCTTCCATTTGGACAAGAAGAGGAAGAAGTGGCGAGTAATTGTCCGAAAGATCACTCCACAAATTGGGAATCACTACTCGCAATAATGAGAATAAAATCGCAAGAGTGTTTGTAAAGACGCAAGAGTCTTTAATAGTGTGTTGATCCAACTAAAAGACTGCATAACGTATTTCGAAATATTCATTAGTAAATAATTTAGAAGCTGTCAAGATGGGATAAGCTGATTTTGAGTTTACGTCAAGCACCAATTAACCTTGTAGTAATAAATCAAACATATTGATAAAAATCACTAGTGCATTTATTAATTTGATGGTCATCATATGTGGACTTACCGAGTTGCATATAAAGAATTTCAAAGCATGGATAAATGATAAGAAGATTAAGATCACATAACTTTATTATGTATTAGGTTAAATGAACCGATTGATCCTCGCCAATTTTTTCAGTGGAAGAATTTCTTTGCTTTGCTCACAAAATGTTTTGTTGTCGCATATTGAATAATATTTGTGTACGATTTGTCGGGATCGAGTGCAAGCCATAATTGCCTAAAACCAAACCGCTAAGTTCCTCCATTGTACTTAGGAAAAAAAAACGGCAAACAGAAGTTCAGCTTAGGGCAGGGCCGTCTCACGCAGTGTAACTAATTCGAGATTACGATGTAATAACGTAACAAACTGTTATAGAGAAAAATACTCCAGCGCCGTTGAAGTTGATCGGCTTGTGTCGTTCACTTTTTCCAACTGTTATTCCAGTGTCACCATTAATTTCTTTTTGTTTGGGGATCGCACGTGCGTTTTGAACAGCAGCGGGAATTACTGTTCGTTAAGTTAGCCAGACGTGATTTGATGCTGTAGTGAGCGAACTATTGAGTTTTTTTGATCAGAATCTGCTATTAATTAATATAACACAGCTTGAGATATTTTTATAACTATATAAAAAATGCTCAAGAAAATGAAAAAAATTGTCCCGCTTATAGTGATCATAGAAGAGATATGACATTAATTAGTCTATAAATATTATTAAATAACATGTGGTGTTCCAATAATAGGGATGAAGATTAATTTTTACAGGAACTTACATTGGTGAAAAATATTGAACACGTATTTTATTTTTTGCGCAATCATTAAATTACGGTAATACTTTGAGTTAAAAT